TGTCTCTCATGAATAAATAAATAAATTCTTTAAAAAAAAAAAAAAAAGTTTATGCAATACGTGAACTCTTTATGTCACTTGTACCCCAGGGCATGAGAAAGAAGAAAAAGAAGCATGCCTTAATGCATCTATTAGGATCATCTCGAAAGTCCACCAAACACCAGGCTTCATACCCACTTTAAAAATGTTCTTTTCCTCTTCATCTTCAGTTTCCTTAACATCTTCAGCTCCTGCTTCGATTGCCAGCTCCAGGGCACGCTCTAGGTTCACAGCTTTCTTCTCTCTGTCCTCCACTCCAACCACGATCACCCCCTTTTTGTCAAAAAAGTGGCGAGCTCCATCAGCCATCATTCCCCTCAAAGGAAAGGAAACACACCAGACTGAATGCCTGTAGACACTCAGCCCCCATATAGCACCGCATTCTAATCACTCTATTTCTCACCCAGACTTTGGAATATAGACATACATACTTCTGAAGGGGAATATGCAGCTACCACCAGGCAAGGGAAAAATCCAAACATATCTCCATCCCCTTCTTTCTGCCCTGATTGCAGTTTAGTGGATGCAAAGACGTTGCTCATCATTTAAGATTCCAGTCTTGGTGCTACATTGTAAGACCTGGACATCATATGGCTATAGAAGGGAAAAATGGGACAAAGGGCCCCTTCTCCACCTGATGAACAAGTCTTCTGGGTTCTGCCTAGTACAGAACGAATTAAGGGAGAATAAATGATCCCACTTGGATTCTGCTAAGGATGAAGTATGCTTAAAACCTGAAACATGACCAGGAACAAATGTACTTTCCTTGCAAAGAATTGGAACCTCAAGTCTTCATACCCTTCCACTCTCCCCAGACCTACACCTACCCATTCTTGTTCAGGATATGTCTGATGTCTGAATAGCACTTGGAGCCACTGTTAGATAATGCCTCAATGAGCAAAGAAGAGCCACCAGGGCCTCGGCCCTCATACAGCAAATAAACATCCTTGGTTTTCTGCAATAAACAACATGAGCACATTTTCCTGTTTCCCAATTCCCTCTTGCACCCCAGCCCAGAACACAGATACTGACTCCACGGGATGGGCACTCTGGGGTACAGCTTAGGGTCTCAAATCTTTACTGTCGCCCCCCCCCACCTCTGAGAGGTGGCCCTTTGGGACCAACTTTTGAAGTAATTACAAGTACGACCCCTTACTGGGTGGGGAGTCTGTTTCTCTGGTCCCTGAACAACCAGTCATCTCCTAGTTTCATTTCCTCCTCCCAGCTGAATCCCACATCTAACACACACACCACCCCCCACACTCCTACCAAGACTCATCCTACATGCAACCCGCATGAAACCCACCTGTGAAGTCTCCCACCCCTGGGGTGCTGAGTATCACTTTAGGAAATAGCACACCTGGGCCCTATCATAAGAACCACTGAAAATAGCATGGCCACAAAATTCAAACAATTCATCAAAGGCCTAGTGACCAATCTCACTGGACCTCCCGTGCCGCCTCCACTCATCCCTTGCCCACACATCTGACCTTCACCACTCTCTCCCAGCACCGTTGCCTTTCCAGGAACTCTCAAATGACAATTTCTTCCTTCTTCTTTCACAAAGGAAATAAAGGACCAGCAAATGGAGAGAAATCCTCTACTTCTACTTTATCTGCACCAAAGCCCACATGAAGGCATGTGTATAATGGTTAGAGAACAGGTTCTAGAGTCTGTCTGGTTTCAAGTCTGTCATTTTCCATGGGACTTGGTCACCTAATCTTTCTGTGCCTCAGTTTCCACTTAAGGTTGTTTTGAGGATTCAGTGAGATAATGCATACAAAGTTCTTATCAAAGTGCTTGGCCTAGAGTAAGCACTCAATAATTATTAGCTATTAAGATGATTATCACTTCCTCAAATCCTTCCTACTGTCCTAGAGGAAGAGGTGTCCTCTCACTTGGGCTCAAAGACAATTCCCAATACTGGGCTCTAACCCTGCCCCTCCCACCATCACTAATGCCCCATCTCCCTTTCTACTGGCTTTTCTCCTTTAGGGCATAAATCCCTGAAAAACTCACCCTTCCTCAATCTAACATTCCCCACATTGTACCCCCTTCTTTCTACCTCACCTCCTCACACTTTAGCTGAGTAGTCCTAGGCCGTCTAGTTCTGTACATTGTCTACTCATCCTATTCCTGATTTTACTCCCATAACCAATGCCCAAGGTCAGAGAGCCACCAGAAGGCTCTGTATTGAGGGTATCAACCACAATGCTACCCGTCTCTCTGATAATCTAAGGCGTGTTGAGTGGCCTTCCAGACATGGGCCCTGGAGGGGCTGTGATCAAAACAAGAAGTCAAACTGAGGACACACCCCCATTTTCAGCGATGCCTCAATCGTTGACTTGGGCATGTGCTTGCTGCGACACACCTCTAAGACGTTGGCCAGACTGCTGTTGTGCTCAGGGTTAGGGCCTCCTTCTGAGAGACAGAGAAAAGAGTGAGTGAACACATCTCATTACAGCCGGGGAGAAAGAAGGGATTTCTGCCATTCTACCCACCCCCAGTGAAAAGAGCAGCAAGTCACCACTTGGCTCTCAGTTAATTTAGAATATTTATTCAGTTTAAATGGAATATGGAAAAGTATTTTGGAAAAGAAGTTTCTAATTCACTCTTTAATGATGGGTATCTTTCTGCTAGGTTTCAGCAAATACCACTTTGCATCAGATGAAGAGGTAAGGGATGAAAATGGTACCAACATTTCCTGGACTTATTAATACCCCTTGCTGTGACTCTACTATTTTGTGTGTAATTATTGAAATGCTCATATGACAGCATGTAATCATGCTGTCTCTCAGGGTAGGGGCTATACCTCATTATTCTGTATTACCAGTGCATATAACATACACTCAATAGTGTTGATCTCAATTATCAAGAATTTAGAAGGAAGCCAAGAGAAATATCAGGCATGAGTTCTAGGGGTAAATTAGTATTTACTGAGTGCCTATTATGTGCCAGAAACGACCACACGGAGGGTACTATCGAGTTTTACAGAAGGAAACTGAAACTCAGCAAGGTTAAGCCATTTGCTCAAGGTCATACAGTTAGTAAGTGACAGAAACCAAGTCTTCTTGACCCCAAAGTCCATGATTTTTACAGGACTTTTTTCTCCACTCCTACAGGTATCTGACACTAAATACAAAAACAGAAAAGCCCTCTTGCAGTGGTTACACAATTGAAAAAGACAAGGTTGCAAACTTACCTTCCAGTAAATGTGTCTTCTTAAGGAAACCCTAATGAAGCAAACTGAGACTGGGCAAGTCATAGATTTACTCAATGCCCCTGCCACAACCTATGTGCTACCAGAGGGGACTAGAGGGCTTGATTTGTCTCTTCAGGCAAGATACACATGTGACCTTACTCTTAGGGTCTGTTTCCATGAAATACCCGGCTACACACTAGAATGAAGTCACTTTTATCATTATCGTCCTAAGAGCAACTCCCTGCCACGCAGGCCGATGCTCAGCATCTGGAAAGGTGAGCGGAGACATATAATGTAGGTAGGTGCCCTGAGCGTTTATGAAGTGGGAATTAGGAAAAGAATATGAAGGACCAAGGTTCGGGGTGGGCCCTGGTTTAGCTGTGGGCGCAGAGAGGGCAGCAGCGGGTGACTTACCTTTAACTGCCAGGCGGATGCTCAAACAGAGTTTGGAGAAGATGCGACTCCTTTCGGCGTCCTTGGGACCCTTGATATGCCGGACTTTGGACCACTTGTTGTGCCCGGCGGGGACCGCCGCGGTGAGGTGCAGCGTCCTGCCCAGAGTGGGGGTACAGCCCGTGGGCTCAGGCTGGGAAGCCGCGAGGGTGGGCGGAAGAGCCGCCTGTACCCCGGGGCCTCGCGCCCCCAGCAAGCACCGGGCAGCGACCCTGCTCAGGCTGACGGCGGCCCAAGCTGCCATCGGCTCCGACCCTGGACCAAGGTCAGCAAGAACAGCCAACGAGCAGCGGCCAAGGTCAGCAAGAACAGCCAACGAGCAGCGGCCAAGGTCAGCCCGTGGCGTCCGAGGCGTAAACGAGCAGGTCCTGAGCCTGCGGCCGCCTGTACCCGTCACCAGAGACCCAAATACTCAGACCAGCCCCGGGCAGCCCGGACGCGACCGTCCCAATACCAAACCCGCGGAAGCCGGGCGCGGGTGCCTTAGATAATGTAGCACACTTCCTTTCCCCCGTCCGTTCCAGAAACGCGCCCCCACCGCCCGAAAAATCCGTTCCGCCGCACGTTACTTTGCTCCTTTCTCGCACCTGTGCAGAGCCTGGGCCGAGGTGGGGGCGACTTTTATTAGAGTCCAACTCAAACTTTTAGCTTTAACTTATAGTTCACTTAGGACTTTATTATTGTCGTTGTTTATTATCCAAGCTACTTTGTGATGGGCTCGGCACTCTCCTCCTTGTACTTTGCCATATTAGAAACATCAGATTGCTCTTGTACTTTTCCAAGTTCCTGTATTCAGCACAAACCTGGGTTTTTGCTGATCCTTGTTCCACTTCACTTCACCTCGCTAAATTTTTTCCTTCAAGAGTCAGTTCGGACATCATTTTCCACCAAAAGAAAACATCCCCTAATTCTCCAGTTGCGCTCAGATGCCCTACTTTGTGCTCACATGATTCTTCATACTCGTCTGTACTTTAGCACTTACCTAAAAATGTTTGTCTCCGCCACAATATTAAATTCTTTGAGAGCAGGACGCGACCCCTGTGTCCAGCATAGTTGTTTTTTTGTTTAATAACAGCTTTATTGAAATAATTCACGTCATACAAGTCACCAATTTAAAGTGTATAATGGTTTTTAGTATATGTATTCAGAGATTTGAGTTACCATCACTATAATCAATTTTACATTTTAGTCACCCCAAAAAGAAACCCTGTATCCATTAGCAGTCATTCACCATTTCCCCCCAATTTTCTCAGTCTTAGGATACTACCAATTTACTTCTTCCTCTATGGGTCTGCCTATTCTGAACATTTCACGTGAATAGAATCATACAATATGTGGTCCTTTGTGACTGGCTTCTTTAGCATGGTTTTCAGGGTTCATTGATATAGCATGTATCAGTACTTCATCCCTCTTTTATTGCCAAATAATATCAATAATGCCATGAAGCTACAATGTTTTATTTATCCATTCATCAGTTGATGGACACTTGGATTGTTTCCACCTTTTGACTATTATAATATTGTCATGAACATTCAAATACAAGTTTTCGTATAGACACGTTTTTGTTCCTCTTGTATATACCTAGGAGTGGAATTGATGGGTTGTATAGTAACTCAGTTTAATCTTTTGAGGAACTGCCAGACTGTTTTCCAAAACAGTTGCATTATTTTATGTTCCCACTAGCAATGCATGAGGTTTCCACTTTTCTCCACATCCTTGCCAACACTTATCTCTTTTTGACTATAGCTGTTGCCACTAGTGGGTATAAAGTGATATCTCATTGTGCTTTTGATTTGTATTTCCCTCATGACTAATGATGTCAAAGATCTTTTCATGTGCTTACTAGCTATTCACATATAGTATTACTTTTTTGTCATTTAAAAATATAGTTTAATATGTAACTTTGAATAGCAAAAAGAAAATTAAGGGAATTTATAATCACAAATAAGCATGAAGGCCAAAGCAAAGTCTGAGATTGCCCTAGTCCAAGCAGCCTAAGTCTACCAGGGCAAAACTGTAGTTCAACAAAGTCAGGCTACAGACTCAGTCCAACGAGGAAAACTCCACACTGGAAGGATGGTGGGGTGTCTCACCAAAGGAAAAGATAATTATTATAGGATTGTGGGGAAAGGTGGAGGTTAGGTGAAATTTCAATGAAATAGAGTTTGATAGGCTCAACGGAACACAGAGCTGTATGAGAAGTGGGTCAACATCAGCTCTGGACTGCAAAGCAGACCGAGTTCAGTTTCTTTGCCAACTACAAAGCTAAATGGGGAGTGCCGTGTTCAGAAACACCTGCTCTGAAGTTCTACACCTGGGTTGGAAATCAAGGCTGCTTCTCTGTCAAGAGTGACTTAGATTCTCCAAGCAAGACTGTAAGTCTTCGTTCTCCCTGACAGAATTTCAAACAGTCTCTGATATTAGAGAACAAAGTTTCTCAGTGAATTAAAAAAAAAGAAAAGCAGTCACTCAGAGAAGGGAATTTTATAACCCTTTAAGTTGCAGGTGTGCTTGGAAGAAATATCGCTTCCTGTTAACTTTGCAACTGGTTTTATGTGTCTATCTGTGATGAACAGCAGGGCAGAATTTTACTTTCTCAATCTAAGCTAATATTCAAGATAAATTCACAGATGACTGAACTGTCTCTAGAGCCTGGTTTTCAGGATCATTGAAATCATTAACAATGAGCTTGGTTGCTAATTTGATGGGTGTGGCAGAGACAGAACTATTTATCCGCCACTTTATTTCCTCTTCCTAGGCGTACAGGCAGATTTATCTTTCTTAAGTGTCCTTGCAGTTAGGTTGGAATCATGTGACTAAATTTGGCAGATATAGGCAAAACTATTCCTCTCATAGTTTCCCCTTCTAAGCAACCTTGGAGGCCACAAGTTCTGGATGATGTAGCTGACCAAACTCGAAAAGGACTTCACATAAGCCAAAAGTAAAATTTTGTTGTGTTCAGTCTCTGCGATGTGGGGGTTGGTTACTGCAGCTTAGCCCAGGCTAGCAAGATGAATACCGCCAGTATGACTCTCCCAGAGCTCCCCTTAAAATAGGAATCTCCTATTTCCCATACATGTTGTCGACCATATAGCACAGTTCTAACAGAGCCATCAGGTGCTCATTTTGCCACGTAGAGTCTAAACTCTTGGAAGTGGTCTTTTGTTTTTTAAGTAGGCTTCACACCCAACATGGGGCTTGAACTCACAGCCCTGAGATTAAGGGTTGCGTGTTCTACTGACTGAGCCAGCCAGGCGCCCCATAAACTTAGAGGACATACTTTTCCCCAGGCCTACTGCCACCCCCAGCTCAATGCTTCTGACACGATGGCAGTTACTTGCCGAATACTGGCTCACGGAATCAGTCACAATTTGCCCTTCTTCTTTTCCCTTGAAATGACTACATGTGAATCCAGAATGAAAATAAAAATAAACGGAGGGACTATTCAACCAGGACTTAGAGCATTTGAATAGCAGTGGGGATAGGCACTCCTCCATCTTACCACGTTGGGGCGTAGGCTGAGGAAACTGGCTTGGACTTGGAAACCCTAGCCAGTCATCAGAACCTGGTGTCCAAACACACAGGGTCTGGGAGTTATCATTTGTCACCCTTCAGAGCCAATAGTTTACTGCATCCTGACTACCCTGTCTCTTAAATCTCTTCAGTTATGCCCCATCCTCTCCTCCCCTCCTGCTCCTGCTTTAGGTCAGGCTTTTACTTCTTCTCATCCCGACTATTACAATAAGTGAACTGCCTCCCTGTTTCACCCCCTACTCAGGCGTTTTCTTCACTGACTCCTAAAGTGCAGTTCTGAGCATGACTTCCCTCTATGTGAGTTTTCCAAAGTCTCATACAAAAGACTCTGCCTGATGTGGCTCCTGCTTACCTCTCTAGTCACACTCCCCATCATTCATTTAAAACCCCACATCAACTTATAATTCTCTGAATATGGCCATATTCTTTCTTGCCTCTATAGTGTTGTACATGGATGTTCGCTCTGCTTTAAATATCTTTCCCTAATCCCAGACAACTACTCAGCCTTCAAAACTCAGCTTGAACATCCCTTGTCTTGTGAAGTTTTCCCTGACCTCCTCTGGCTCCTACCCAGACTTAGGGGATCAACTCCTCCTCAGGGCAACCAGTAAGCCTAAACACACCCGTATCGCACAACATTGCCAGGAATTGTTTATCTGGGAGACTGCAAGCAACTTGAGGGTCATGGCCCCTGGCACAGAATAGGTGCTCTGTGTTTTATTAAAAGGGATGACTCAGGCTGTCAGATAGTGAGATGGGCTGGGGTGGACTCTCATCCCCCAGCCAGTATCTCTGGAACATGACCACAGTGGCAGAATGGGAAGAACTGAATTCATCACAAGAAGAAATTCAGTCAATCTATACATGTTCAAGTTTTATTACAAAGTATGATGGGCAGAAAATATGGTACTTCTTATACAGGAGGCTGAAACAGAATGAAAGGGTGAAAATTAGGTTTAATATACTCAGGAAGCAAGAAATAAAGTCATAGATGTAACACTCCACTTTCAGGTGCCTTTGAAGTCGCCTTCAATGGAGATTTACCATTATGGTTTCACAGCACAGTGTTAACATTTTATTACAAGCCCTGTGTACAATCAGTCCTGTGATAATAATATTTTAAAAAGAAAAGTGGGTGATAGTACAGTTCCATAGGGGGTAGCTTCCTCTCCACCTGACCATGGGAGGTCACAAAACCTAGAGTATAGAGGAAAAGTTTAAATATATAACAAGAAATGAAGTTCAGACGTACTAGGCTAGAGGGAACAGACATTGATTGGCTAGAGCTTAACATCTCAGAGAACAAGGAATCTCCGTTTTCTACACAGAGGTTTGTACAATCATGCTACAAGTTCACACTCGGGGGAGGAGGGGGGGAAGTCACTGACAGGGTCATAAAATACACAGGAACCCAAGCAAGCGATTCATACTCAACTCAAGCGAGTCAAAGCTGTAGCTCAACAAGTCTCGTTGCACACTGGATTACCACAACCAACCCCAGGCGAGAGCACTTCTCTTAAACAGCAGACACCACAAGTCCATAGCCACTGGGTTGTCCTAAAGGTGGGTCCTTGTAAGTTTTCTAGCTGTTACAAAGACTGCCAACATCTTTCTTCTTGAGTTCATACTTTCACTAGCTTATTTGTTTCTGGTTTGATACACCAGCCCAAGCCTCTTTGGGAAGGCACCTGCATGTTTCCAAACTTAAAAAATAATATCCACAAAGTAGCCTGAGAGGACCGGGCCCGCACTGTGTAGCCACACCTTTAACTCAGCAGCAAAGACAACGGTGGGAGAAGAGGGTGCAGGTGGGAGAGGCGGGCAAGGCTCTGCAACAGGA